GTTAAGATGTGAATGTAACCTTTCCAGCATTCCAAGTAAATTTAGTAGGATTAATTGTATGAGAATTTGTGTGAATAATTAAATTAAATATTTGAAAATATGGGGAGTAAAGAAAGCTGAGTTTTACGTTGGTGATAATACAGTGCATATTAAGACAAGTTGGGGGGAAATACTACATTAAGCTAAAGCTGTGAAATCACATGTGGATTTGACCATCTTTTCTCCTTTTTTCCCCCTACAGAACTCTTCAGTTCTTCTTTTTTATTTTTCAGTACTTGGGATTGAACTGAGGACCTTGTGCTTGCCAGGCATGCACTTATGCCACTGAGCTACCTACCTTGCCCCAAAACTCTCAGTGCAATCCAGACATTAGAAAACAATAGAGTAAAAGATCAATTAGTTATAGATAGCTTTTGATTTACACCTTCAACTTCCATTTATATTTCTTAAGAATCATTAGCATATATTTGTTGAGCATGGATATTAAATGGAAAGGTTTATTATCAAAATAGATGTAGATGATTTTAGGAAAAAATATTTAAAAATTAATAAATAAAAATAAGTTCTGGGAAGAGCAATAAAAATAGGTTGCATTTCTCACGGTACTTGAGAAGGCTTCATTAGATAGACTTAAAAATATATAATACTGAGTGTTATGACTAGTACTTCTTAAAACAACTACAGTCATCAAAACAAGAGAAGTCTGAGAAATTATCACAGCCAAGAATAGCTTAAGGAGATGTGATGATCCTGGAAGGGATCCTGGGATCAGTTTCTCAAGAAAAAAGACATTACTAAGGTAATGTGAATAAACTATGGCCTGTAGGCAATAATAATTTATCAGTATTGGGTCTTTAATTACAACAAATGAATCAAGTTTAGGAAACTATGAGGTATATGCAAACTCTGTACTATCTGTTCAATTTTTCTGTAAATCTAAAAGTGCTCTAATAAAGTTTATTAACTTAAAAAAGAGTTATAGTTTTGAAGCTATTTTAAATGACCCTATTAATGAAAAATTCTTGGTACGAGGGACCAGCTCATGGGCCTGGATTAAGGGCTTTAACCATTAGCTGACAACAGGCCAAGGACTCCACTGTCCTCAGGAATCTAACTCAGAAGGCCTCAAATCAGAAACCAAAATCCCTTCAGTGAATACCAATGAGAACGATGGGTTATTAAGACAATAAAGCAAAGACTGTTTCATTTTCTTTATACCAAATAGTATAGCCCTAATGCACATTGCGGACAGCAGGCTTTCTAAGCATTGAAATCTCTAAGCACAGGAGCAGAACACACAATTGCACAGGGTCAAGCAAGCCCCTGGGAGCCACATCCAGGAAGAACTGGTGAGCTGCAGAGCCCTGCCCTGCTGCATTAGAGATTCCTAGCTCAGACACCACAGCATATTCTCTTGCCTCACACCATCAGTCATACCAACAAAACATACAAATCTGACTCCATCCTCTCCTTGCCTACAGATTCTTTAAGAATCAAGGGTCATGAGTGTTATTTTAATAGCTAGGTTATGAACTCTGACAGTTTCTCAAGGGAAATACTGACCGTAATTAATTTTGGTCAGTTTAATTAATTTTTTCATTTTGAAATCTGTTGATTCTAAACATTCATTCTTTCATTCAAGTTAAAAATATTTATTGAAAAGGGCCAGCCAAATAACTCAGCGGATTAAAGTGCCTGCTTCGGCAGACGTAGCGGCCAGGGTTCGATCCCCTGCACACCGTGCTCGCCCCGCCCCCGGGGTGTGCTGAGTGGGGGACTGAGACTGGGCATGGTGGCACGCACCTGTTATTCCAGCACTTTGGGAGGCTGAACACAGGCGGATCACTACGAGTCCGATGCACATAGTGAGACCCTATAGACTCTTACTAAAAAATACAAAACAACCAAAAAACCCCCAATTTATTGAGGATCTATTATGACCAGATACTTGGATGGTGGAAGAAATTTACTCAGGAGAACATTCTGAACTAATGAAACGGTTTAGATGAACACAAACTCAATAAATAGAAATGTGAATGACGTTAATATAATTTCATTGAAGGAACACATTCTTGATTTAACCTTGTGCTCCCTCTAGTGGTCTACTGGTTAAAATGGAAACCTTATATAATAGCTCAGTCTGTTACTGTTCAGTATGCTGGAACTCTGACACACTGCTTATCTGACTTTGTGAGCACTCGGATCTCTGCTGTGTAGAATTAACCTGTCTTTCTCTCTCCTGATAATTTCATAATATTTGTGAAGATATTATCATTTATTTGATGAAGACCTGCCTTGAAAAGGCATCAACTAATCTCTTTAATAACTTTATTCTGGGGCTGGAGAGATGGCTCAGTGGTCTAAAGCACCTACTTGAAACAAGCTTGGCAAAGCACAGGGACCGCGGTTCGATCCCCCAGCACCACATGCCAGCCAGCCCCGCCCCCTGGTGGGCTGAGCTGGCCACACACACACAATAAATAAATGTAATAAATAAAAATAAATAAATAATTAAAAAAAGCAACTAATTAAAAAAATAACTTTATTCTGTATTTCCTCAAACATTTTAACATTCTGTAAGTCAACTGGTAACTCCATAAGGGACAGCCTCCCAAAGGGAATTAGTGTTTCTCACTCTTATGTCTCCATTCCATCCGTTTCAATTTGTACACGTATTCATCCTGAAACAAACTTTTATTGAGGGTTTACTATGTGCCAGGTAGAGTTCTTTGCACTGGAACTATAGGAGTGAACAAAAAAAGGATAAAATTTCCTATTTCAATGAAGCTTATGCTCTAGTGTGCATGTGTGTAGGATGGAAAAAAATATAATTTACAAGTGAACTCAGTAATTTTTCAGATAACCACTAGTATGGAGAATGACAAAATAGAAAGGGCTATAGGAGAGGTGATTTGGGGTTGTAAACTGAAAAATGTGGCTAGGGAAGGTCTCACTAAGAATGTGATATTTGAACAACCATGTCAAGGAAGAGAGGAAGCATTCTATGGGGAAAGAACATTCCAGCAGTGGGGACAGTAAGGTCAGATGCCAGGATGGGGGATCATACCTGGGATGTTCAAGTATACAAGGAGGTCAGCTGCTGGATAACAGTGAAGAAAGAAGAGAGACAGCTTTACCAGGAGAGAGGAGGCCAGGGGGTATTAGGGAGGGCCCTGCATGCCACAGCACTGCTTTGGCTGTTACTCTACATGAGACAGGAAGCCAGAGTAGTTGTTTTAAGCAGAAGAGTGACAGGATCTAACGTACATTGTGAAACGATCATCCTGACTACTATGTGGAGAACAGAGCAAAGAGGGACAAGGCTAGAAGCAGGAACATTTAGCTGGGGGGCTGCTGATATAGGCCAAGAGAATGAGGCTAGTGGCTTGGACTGGGGTGATAGTCCTGGAAGTAGTGAGACATGGCAAACTTGAGATGTATTCTGAAGATGGCACTGATGGGCCTTCTAATGAATTGAATATAAAGTGTGAAAGAAAGGAGACAAAGATGGTGCCAACATGTTTGGCTTGACCAACCAGACTGGAAGAATGGGGTAGGTTGGTTTTGGACATACTAATTCAGGCTGTCAATTAGATACCCACCTATCTAGTCTCTAGAACTTTCTCCCATCCATATATTTACCTACTCACACTTCTGTCCATCCCAGATTCTTTGGAAACTCTATGTTTTTTGATATGCTATTTCCAGTCTCAGGTTGAAGCAACATTTTCAATTTACTGAGGCAAGACACCAAGGCTTTTCCTAAAATTCCCTTCTCTTTGCCTTCAATAACCAGTGGATCACCAAGTTCTGTCAGTGATCATTCTCCAGTGCTATCTTTCTTTTTCACATCTGCTATCATGACCTCTGTTCACACACTCATGATCTCTTCCCTGCCCACTGAGAACAGCAGTCTGATCTTTTCCTTTGTCATGCGAATAGGCAGAGCAGTGCCCCTGATCTAGGGTTAGGGGGTGGGGATAGAGGTAAGAGGCAGGGTCTAAATAAGAGCATAACTCATTCTCAGTCCTGCTCCTTGGACCTAAAAGTGATGTAGGTACTATTATTATTCTCATTTTATAGATGACGAAATTGAGGGAAAGAAAGGTTAAGTAAGTTGTTCATGGTCGTACAGTTACAAGGAATGGGATTGGAATTCATATGGGATTCATATGGGTCTTAACCCTATGGTATGGTGTATGGTAAAGGCTAACTGGATGTGTTCTTGAGGAGTCCAAACTGGGGTGGTCCAGTCATTAACCAGATTTTAGCTTGTTAATGGTTTCAGCAACTAACCGGGGCCATAGCTGGCTAGAAGCAATTGATGCAGTAAAGAGGAGAGGTGGGTGAAGTTCTGGAAGGAGGGGTGTAGTGAGGAATCTAATTATGTTAAATGTTGGAACAGAAGTAGTGCTGCCTCCTACCTGGCTAATTCACATGGCTGTGACTGAAGAGCAGATGGTTGTGGCATTTGTGAAAGGAACAGACCTAGACGAAGAAGGCAGCAGTGGTCAGGAGAGATTGGGCAAACAAAGTAAGGGGGTAAAACAGAATCCATCACTAGTTTGAAGGTGTCATACATATGGGAAGAGGGATACTGTGTAATGAAGTTCATGGGAACAATGCATCAAAGGCCTGAAGGTTACCTCAATTATGGAAATCACAGAGGCATATTAAAGGTTAGGTCAGATGTGGGGTAAACTGTTATGATTTGGTCTATTTGTCCCCCCAAAGCCTCACGCAGTTAAGGGGTGGACTTCTAGAGTTTATGATTAATTCATGATCCAGTGCTGAGCTTATGGGTGTGAGTGCTGCTGGGATTATGGATGGGAGTGCTATAACAAGCCTGGGGTGGGGGAATAGCCTGAATGCAAACTGTAGGGTGACAGGCTTGCTCTCTGTTGCCATTGTTGCTGCCACTTCTCCCTTTTGCTCTTTGCTGTTCCCTGCAGCCATGAACTGCCATCTGCCATGTGCCACTGTGCCTTGGAGCCAGTCGATTATGGACTGAAACCTCCACAGACTGTGAGTTAAATAAACCTTTTCTTCCTTCATTTTTGGTGTTGGGAATTTTGTCCCGGCAAGGAGAGAAGAGTAACTGAGACATAAAACAAAAGACTGAATTTCAAACTCTGTTGTGTCTCAGAACCACCTGGGGAGTCACTAGTTACAAATTTCTATATTTAGGTGACATTCCTAGAGGGTTTGGTTTAAGAATCTTAAGGATCGGCTCTCTGCTCCTGCACATCTGCTGATAGCCACTCTTCCCGTGCAGCCAACAGCATTCCAGACAAGATGGTGAAGGTTGGAGTGAACGGATTTGGCTGTATTGGACGCCTTGTCACCAGGGCTGCTTTTAACTCTGGCAAGGTGGATGTTGTGGCCATCAATGACCCTTTCATTCACCTGAACTACATGGTCTACATGTTCCAGTACGATTCCACCCATGGCAAGTTCCATGGCACTGTCTAGGCTGAGAATGGGAAGCTTGTCATCAACAGAAAGGCCATCACCATCTTCCAAGAGCGAGATCCTGCCAACATCAAGTGGGGTGATGCTGGCGCTGAATACGTGGTAGAGTCCACTGGTGTCTTCACCACCATGGAGAAGGCTGGGGCTCACCTGAAGGGTGGTGCCAAAAGGGTCATCATCTCTGCCCCTTCTGCTGATGTCCCCATGTTTATGATGGGTGTGGATCATGAGAAGTACGACAACTCCCTCAAGATGGTCATTAATGCTTCCTGTACCACCAGCTGCTTAGCCCCACTGGCCAAGGTCATCCATGACAACTTTGGCATGGTGGCAGGACTCATGACCACAATGCATGCCATCACTGTCACTCAGAAGACTGCGGATGGCCCCTCTGGGAAGCTGTGGTGTGATGGCCGCAGGGCTGCCCAGAACATCATCCCTGCATCCACTGGCATTGCCAAGGCTGTGGGCAAGGTCATCCCAGAGCTGAGCGGGACGTTCATAGGCACGGCCTTCCATGTACCCACTCCCAACGTGTTAGTGGTGGATCTGACCTGCCGCCTGGAGAAAGCAGCTAAATACGATGACATCAAGAAGATGGTGAAGCAGGCATCAGATGGTCCCCTCAAAGGCATCCTGGGCTACATCAAGGACCAGGTTGTGTCTTGCAACTTTAACAGTGACACCCACTCTTCCACCTTTGATGCTGGGGCTGGCAGAACCCTGAATGACCAATTTGTGAAGCTCATTTCCTGGTATGACAGGTATGACAGTGAGTTCGGCTACAGCAACAGGGTGGTGGACCTCAGGGTCCACATGGCCTCCAAGGAGTAAGTGCCCCACCACCACAGCGCAGTGAGACCAGAGGGATGGAGAGGCCATGCTGTAGAAGTCACTGCCCTACTGAGAAATCTCCCCCTCACAGATTCCATCCCAGGCTCCCTAGAAGGGGAGGGGCCTTGGGAGCCCTGGCTCACTGCCCTTGCACACCATCAATAAAGCCCATTGTACCCAGAAAAAAAAAGAATCTTCAGGATTAAGATGTAGGCAGTCTGCAGACCACATTTCAAAACACACTCCATTAGATTGCATGCAGTTTGAATAGGCTGTGTTGGCCTTTTGGAAGTGGTGCCTACGGGCACAGGCAATTACAGGTCTCAATAGAATGGGGCACTTTGGAATATAAACCTCTGGACTGCCTCATGATGGACATGGATCTTTTTTTTGGACATGGATCTTTATGTTCTATGACAACTGTCTGCTATCCATGCTGTGGCTGGGAATAGTTAGTTGTAACATTCTCAGGCTGGAACTATTCCCACTTGCCCTTGATACTCTAAACTAGTGATGAAAAACCTCTTAGAGCTTTCAGTGGTAACAGAACCTGATGTGGTATGCATGCCATAGTTTTTCCACCACTGCTCAAAACTCTGCAAGTCTGTCCTGGGTGCTCCAGGTTACAATGGTTTGAACTCAATGATCACAAGCTTCTTGTCTCTATTAAGGAAGTGTCTTACTATCTTAAAAGTGGCTTTGATCAGCATGTGACCTTGGTTAGGACCAACTTTCTGGAGATCTTGAGCATGAGCAGTGATCAAAGTGCTCAGGTCTTCCTGTGACAGGACAACACCTTCACCCAACAGTTGCCAGTTGATAACATTAGTCAAGGCTTTAGGCCAGAGGTGAGGTAGAAGTGAGTGTAATCTTAAGTTACTACCAGGTCATTTTTATGCCTTGGAAACACATTCCTTTCTCTTAAGGAACAGATTTTGGGGTAGTCAAGATGCAGAGGTGTTCAGTGAATTCCTGGTGGTATCAAAAGATTTCTAACATCTTTAATCACTATATGGAACTTCATTTCAAAAAGACTTACATCTTACCCAATACTCTATTGTAAACTCTGGCAGAACAGAATGTAGTCTACATGCACCACTTTCACATTTAGGGGCTTGGCCTTGAGGTGGTGCTAGTGTAATCACCACATTACTACTCAATCGAGACTCTGTTAAGATATAAGTGAATCTGTCAAAATGTTGCCCAGGTAATTGCAACAATTGTCTCTGCTCTAAGAGGGTAAGATCTCATTCTCTGGGCGATGGTAGGAATGCTGCTTAGCAGTTAGTTTCATTTGATCTTTCTTCATCTAAATTAAGTTGTAGATGCACCTGAAACATAGCTGTGTGTCTCAGTTATTCTTCTCTCATTGCTGGGACAAAAACCCAAAATGAAAGAAGGATTTCTACAGCATGGCTTCTCCATCCCTCTGGTCTCGTTGCACTGTGGTGGGTGTGATGTTTATTTAGTTCACAGTTACTGGAGGTTTCAGTCCATACTTGGCTGGCTCCAAGGCAGAGTAGCACAGGGCAGAGAGCATTCAGTTCATGGCGGTGGAACAACAATAATGACAACAGAGAGAGTCTTTCTGTCTCTCTTACACTGCACTTGGGTTACCTGCCCCAGGCTGGGGGAAGTACTCACACCCATAACCCCAGCAGTACTAAGATCCATAATCCCAGCCTTGGATTACCCATAATCCCAGTGGATCATGAGTTAATCTCAAACTCTAGGAGTCCCCACCCCATTATTGCACGAGGCTTTGGGGGGACAACTAGACACAAACCATAACACTGTGTGAAGGCCAGAATCTTACAGAATTAATAGAGAAGGCTTCAGATTAATAGGATTCTGGATAGTGACTACATTGAGAGGGGATGATCTTGACAAGGAAGAACTACCTGCTTTTTACCTTCAGAAAGAGTCTAAAGATCAATGTGAAGAAACAGAGGATCTGATGAAACCTGCTCCAAAATGCTCTCCATAGCTTTTCTCTCATAGCAGGCCTTGCCTTTAGACTAAGAGCATCTGTTCCTTTGGTGGTAAGACAAGACCTTGATATCACAGATACCATATAGTCACCCTTGTCCATTAAGGGATGTCCCTCTGCTTCTTGGTGGATAGTATCACTTGCCCTTTAAGTATGAGTTGGACCCTAGTGGTATGAGGGTTCTGCTGAACAGGGAATTCTCTATGACTCTGGGGGTAGAATAGGAGGCTATAGAGGTGCTGGCATCCAAACTCTGACAGAGAGAAGGATGTGAGTTTTGAGGACCAGAGTGAGTAGTTCCCTTCAGACAGAACTGGCATATTGACAATGGGAAATATAAGTATAGGGGATAACAATATCAGGCCTGACTTTAGCGGGACAGGCAGCTGGATCTGCTGGACCAGGGACTTGTCTGAATAGTTGCCTAAGACGCCCTGAATACTACCCAGTCAAGATATAATAAATGACTTTTAATAAACATTTACTATATTCTAGGTTGTCTTCTAAGCTCTCTAATGCAATTATCACATTTAACTCTTAGACTCCTATATGGTAGGTACTGTCAGTATGTCCAACTTATAAATGAGAACACTGAGGCACAGAGATCTGATGATTGATGGGGCTAGTAAGTGTTGGAGAAGTTGGAATTCTCTGTGTGACAATGAATCTGTGATATAGTGTCTTTTCAACTTTTCAATAAAAACTATAGGAAAACACCTCATCTCATGGAGGCTATAAATGGGCATGCCAGAGGATCAAAGCATGTCTTAGCTAGCTTCTATTCTGGCAGCCTGTTTGGAAGTTTTCTGATGGAGATGCTGATGCCCTATGGTTTAGACATGTATTTACAGAATGATCATAGCTACTATGGTTAAGGCCTGTTGCTTTTTGCCTGTTGCTTTTTGTCTGTGTTTATTCTGCAGGCACCACTATGGAAGTGGCGTGAATGGCAAGTGATAGGGACAGGCTCTCCATTGATGAAAGAGGGGTCTGCCTTCATGCTGAAGTGATGTGGTTGACTTGAAACCCAGACTGTCTTTCTGTGTGGTTGTCTATTTGTAAAGACAGGAGCTGGGGTGCTATGAGGGGAGGTGGAGGTTTGGCTGCTTGAGTAACAAATTACACTTTGTATAAAGCTCATTGGGGAATTTAAAAAAACCCACAGTACAGTTCACTTTCATTCACTGTCCCTGATGTATAAGGAAGTGAAATTCCTGAGACTATAGCTCTAGTACTTTAAATCCCAACTGCCAAGTGGGTAGTAACTTAGAGCTGAAAATCTTGTTCTATGTTCTTCTTGTAGAATTTGTCAAGACACAATGCCTATGGGTTTGTGATTCACTGCCCCCAAGTGGAAGTATCAGAAACCAACAGCATTCCAGGATGAAAACTGCAGCCTTTCCTAGCAGGGAAGTAGGAGAGGGGCTCAGCTGACAAAAATCCCACATTACTAGGTGCTGCAGTATTATGGAACAAGAGAACAAATAACAGAATCGTGGGAGGAAGGAGGACATAATTGAACTACAGATGCATTGTCATAATGAGAAGAAAGAAAATACTATGGAGTTGAGATGTAGAAGCAAACAGGGTAAGAGACGCAGAAGAGGCAGGTAGAAAGAATGAGGACGAGCCAGTAAAAGTGAACAAACAAGATGTGTGACTCCCAAGTCACTCTCCTTTGCTGGGTTTTAATGATCTCCTGGCATGCGTTTTCATGGATGTGGTGAGTTCCATTTAAGGTAATCTGGATGGGACAAGATGAATTTTTAAGAGCCTGACTACAAAAGGCAGAATCCATGGACCCAGAGAGGTCTGTGAGCAAGTGACACAGGAAGGCAAGAGTTAGAGAAACACAAGTCATTGAGCAGGCACTCCATTATTTTGCTGGCAGGCAGCCCCCACACTCCTGTCACAGCCATCGTTGACCTCATTTACTCTGGCTTCACCAGAGATGGCTCTCTTCTAAAAGCTACTCATCTCATTCTTTCCTAAATCCTCTGAGATTTAGCTCAATTTCTTATTCTTCTCAGATTTCCAGTGTTTTCCTTTCAGCCTGTACATGTCCTTAAATCTCTTAAAAGAAAATAAGACAACAAAGTATCCCTCAACTTTACTTTTCCTTGGCCACTCCTTTCATCTTGCCTTTCCTTCTCATTCAAGCTTCTGGATAGAGTAGCTTTCCTTTTTCTGTCTCCTTCTTTAGTGCCTACTCATCCTTCAATGGTTTGTGGTAAATGCCCAGCACTTTCCAGAAAGTGCTCTGCCTAAGGTCAAACATAAGTGATTCTTTAACACCTATCTGGGTTGCCCCCTTCACAGCACATCACACTGATGAGAGAGCTCTTTTCTTCTTTAAATCCTTCTGTTCCCTTGGGATTCAATGACCCCTTCTATTTTGATTATTAGGGTACTCCCCACCTTTTGGCTTTTCAGCACTAGGGTGTTTCCCTCTACTTTCTCATTATACGCAGGTGCTTCCTGAGGTTCTGGAGTCTACCTCCTTTTTTCCCTCCTCACTCTCTACCTTTTCCAAGACCCGTACCATCACTTGACACAGTGGCAACATATTTCCATCTCCAGTTTCAGCTTTTACTTTTATCTCCAAATTTGGATATCCAATCTCCTTGGGTATTGCCTTTGCTGCATACCACTCCACTTTAGTGAAGAAGTATTGCATGGGAGTTAAGTACCCAGATGGAAAAGTCAGACCATCTGGGCTTGAATGTCAACTTGCCCACTTGCTAACTTTGGTTAAATGACTAAGACATTTAACCTCTCTGTTCTTTCCTGTGTAAAACAGAATCAGCAATAGTACTGACTTCTTAATGTTGTTGTGAGGATACATGAAAAATTGCATGTAAGGTAGTGCTTGACATATGCTAGCTACTACTATTAATAACATCCTCTCTTGTTTGGGACTCCGAGCAAGCCTGAAACTTGAGTCGTCTTCCTCATCTTTCATTCCCTCCCACATCTGCTCAATCACTACTACTTGATTTCATCTCTTAAAAGCTATATTGGGCAACCCACTTAGGACCCTCCTGTCTTTCAGGAACTGTTTCTATTCCCTCAATAAATTTTCCTACCCTTAAAAAAAGTTATCTCAAGTCAGCCTCACCTTTCTCCATCTCTTCATCTCTTTACTTTCTTAGTTTAGGGCTTCATTCCTTTTCATAAGGACTCCAGGTATCCTAACAAGTCTCTTTACCTCCAGCCTCTCCCTCCTTCAATGTGTGCTCTATAACTGCCATTATTGTATTTCTCTACAACATAGATCTGAGTATGCTAACTTCTCATGTAATTTAAATTCTTCAGTGGCTTCCTGTTTCTTGTAGCAGAGTTTCTCAAAGTCTATATATCAGAATCACTGCTAGAGTGAGAAAGTGTAGGTTTCTATGCATGACTCCAAACCTAACAAATCAAGATCTCTGAAAGTCATCTAGAATTCTATATTTCTTAGTTGGGTAATTCTGATATACATGAAGCCCTTATGACCCATTTCCTACATTTCTGTAATTGTCCATCATACACCTTAACTCTTCATCATCAGCACTTCCCTAAAGCCATAAAGCTATTTTACACAGCTCTGATTTTTATTCCCTATTGCTTTTTAAGTATCTTACTTTATGATGTTTATTTTACATCTGCTTTTTAAAATTTTGCATTGCTTTGTTTTCATAAATTCTTTTATGGCCTTCTGAAATATGCCCCCCATCTTCTCGGAATAGCCCTTTTCATCATTCGAACCATTCTTTACTATAACCTCTGTAATGATAAATCTTACTTCACTTCTCTGTAGCACTATTTGTCAACCATTTTGGTCCTTTCATGCCTGACCTCTACCCAAGATGTCTTTTCAGAAAGCTTTGCCTAACCACTCCCATGAAATTTAATATCAGAGATACACTATACATCTGTTTATGTACTGCAATATTATTTGTTTCACTCTCAAGAATGAACCCATTTTCTTGAGGTTCATCCTTATCTTTTTGTGACATAAGTATTTGCTGATCCTCTTCCTATCTGACCCTTCCTTCTCAAGATTTGTTTGAAGCTTTTCCTCTCTCATCTGCTACTTACATGTTCTGCATGTTGCTAAGATATGAATATAGGGCCTTGTGCATGCTAAACACAAGCTTTACCACTGAACTATACCACACTCTCCATAGTTCTTTCAACACTGGCATTCCACAAGGCTCAGTATTTGTGATTTCCCCCCAGAATTATTTTATACATGCTTTTAGGTAATCTGATCATTTTCTTAGTTTCAGTTACCACTCAGAATACTACTGATGCCCAACTCTGGCTCATCCATGAAGATGATTTTCCTGAGCTCCAGTTTCTTGTTGTTCTGAGAACATGGCCTACAGACTAGCAGGAGGTAGTATTGCCTGGAAGCTTGTTA